GACAGTTAAGACAAAAGTATAAAGTAAAACAGACTATAGAAAGATGACATGACAAGTCTACAAAACATTTGCTCAAGGACATAAACTACTTATTGCTTTAAAGATGTACCTCATTATTTGTGTAACTGAAGACTAAAACAGATTTACCCGGATTTTTTTTCTCAAAGCCACTCTAACATCTAAAACATTATCTAGAACAACAGATGAATACCTGACTGTTAAGGTACTGCAATCTCTGGGTTTATGTTTGCCACTGCCTTTCTTTAAAATACCCCACTAATATACATTTAACCTATGTACATTCATGAGAATTCTGCCATAGCCTATGCTGTTCATATCCATGGTCTAGGGCTCCCAGGAGAGTCCTGCCACTCCATACACATTTCAACCATACAACATGAAACCAAAAGGAAAGGCTTACAGTTCTTCAGTCCATAATGGTTCTCCAGTCCACCACCACCACTGTGTTCACACCGCTCAAGCAGTCAATGTTTCCTCTAAGCTTCCTAGCTTGGCTCTAAATATACTTCCTCCAAGTAGTAAGGAAGGTTTGTCATTCCTGTTGATGGTGTTTTTAACAACATCATATCATACTTGGCTAGTTTCATTTTAAAATATTTCTCAAATTTCTTTTTTCTAGAATGTCTTCAAATGCTTTGTAGCAATGAATATTTGAAAATATTAATAGTGAAAGTAGTATTGTGGTTAACAAATTAAAATACAGATTCCTGCATTGACAAAATATTTCACCCAGTGCTCTGATCCTCTGATCTATAAAATTAGAGTAATAAGCATGCTTTCTGATAAAATTTTGAAGATCAAAGCAGTTAAAACATGTAAAATATTAAAATGATACCTGTTGTGCAGAAAGCCCAATAAAAGCAAACTAGTTTTACTCAACCATTTAACTCTTTAATTATAAATAATAGCCACTTCGTTGGTGCAGCAGATCTAAATTCACTTATGATACACATACATGGTGGTATGTTTCCTGCTTTAATTATGAATTAATTAATCTATGAAACAAAGTAATTTTATTGACTGCCTGATCTCCAACTGTAATCAAATTTTAAAATGAGTTTTCCTTCATTATTTTCAGTGTATCTTCATTTATTCATTCATTACAATGAAAGCCACAGAGAAAAAACATTCAATCCTGAGATACAGAGAATGTGCCAGGAAGTAGATCCTTATGTATACCTTCATTTCCCCTCTTCTTACTTCACTTGAAGAGATTATATGGACAGTCAGTTCCGTCATAAGCAACAATTCAATATTTACATGGATAAACAACCACTGTTATCCTTAAAGCATTCCACACAATTTGTGAACTTTCCTGAATTTAAATGCATTCAAAATTCAACAGGCCTGAAAAACGAGCTTAACAAGGTCACATAAAGATGAGGTAGAAAAATCCAATATGTTGATAGAGAAAACATAAGACATGTTAGCTGTTTCCATATATGTATATGCTGTCATTCAACTGTAAAAGAGATTTATTTCAGCCCAAGAAAGTTGAGTAAACACTGTAGGGAGAGCAAAGAGAATTTAGTACCAGTTGGAACAGCTTTTAAAATAGCAGGCTATTTCAACTATATATACTTAAAATAAACCACAAAGAGTGTTCATGGAAGACACGGAAGATTATATACAAACAGTCTTTAAAAATCAGAACATGCAGATTTTCTCTAATTCACCAAACTGCAAAAGGAGACATGATTTTGGACATGTTATTTTCCCTGAAAACCAGAAATCTTTAAGATATTGGGAAGCTGAAAACCTATATAAAGGGAACGATAACAAAATGTACACAATATATATAATAAATCCAGTGTTATAAAACTTCCTATCATTTTTCTGGAGCTTAAGAGGAATTCTGAGTGTAGTATTTAAACTCAGCTTTGAGGGTGAAATTAAAACTAGCAGGAAGTTCTACCATTTCAAGATGAACAATCAGCATGACCAAAGGAATAGTGCAAGAAATACAGTGAGGATGAAGGAAGGAGGGAGAGATGACAGTTCGACATGAGTAACAAGGTGGTAGGAGAATGACATATACAAGGACTGAAGTGTCAGTCTTTGGGTCTACGTAATGGGAGCCACCAGTGTTACTTATGGGAAGGCAATAAAGGTAGGTTACAGTAAAAGAATTCGACAATGTGTGGTCTAAGTGTATGGTAACCCAGAGGGACAGTGATATCCAAAGCTAGACGAGAGTAACATCGACACTAATAAAATCGTGGGAACAACAACAAAGAGCAAGACAAAAAAGAGAAACACAGAGGTTCAGTGGAGACTGCAGAACATAAAGAAAGCTGCCCAGCTGATATGGGGAAATGTCTAGAAAGGCCGAGAACTTTAGGAAGCATCAGGGCTGCAGACAATGACTTGGGTGTTATTCCCACTGATGCAAACTACAGGCCAAGTACAAATGAGCTTCACCAATCAACAGAACAAAGACAAAACAAAAACTGAAAACATGAATTGAGAAGGGTATAAAACAAGACCTGGGTAGAACTACAAAGAGCAGCCAGAGAAGAGGAGAACAAGGGCCATATGGAACTCAAGCAAGGATTCAAGAAACATCAGATCCCAACATTGCCAAGAACTGTGGACAACTGAGAGCAAATGAAGCTTTGGAAGTGATGGAGTCAATCAAAATGAAATCCTAATACTTTCAATTTTATGAATAAAACCCTCATTCTTTCAAAGTGTTTTCATACTAGATTTTTTTAAGCCTTTGAGGAAAAACAAGTATTTTTTATTTGAAGATACTCTGATCCTGAGGAAATTTCCTTAAATACTCTCAATTTGATCATAGTGTCCAACAGTTTTCAGTGACATCAGGTACTATTCTACTAAGAGGTATATTAAAACAAAGGGGAGAATTATTGATTGTCACAAAGACTGAGGGGAAGCTATTAGCATATGAAGAACAGAGCACACTGTTAAAGACTGAATGTGTCCCCTCCATATTTCGTATTTTGAAATCATAATCCTAAAGGTAATAGCAGTAAGAGGCAGAGGCTTTAGGAGGTAAGTGGGGTGGATTCCTCAAGACTGATTACTACATTCACAAAAGAAACCCTAGAGACTCCTCTCACCCTCTTTCCACCATGACAGATATAAGGCAGAAGTCTGCACCCCAGAATCTCAACCAAAACCCTAAATGCTGATAGCCTGATGTCAAATTTCTAGCTGCCAGAACTGTGAGAAATAAATCTGCTACCTATAAGACACTTATTCTGTGACAGTTTGTTATTGCAGTATGAATTAAAATCATCACAGACATTGAATGTCCTTTGATGAACGAGACAGCAAACTATGCCCCCAAAGGTGCTAAAAATGCCTCCTGTTGAGAAATGCTGTCACATAAGTTTGCTTACTATAGAATAAATTTTTGGAATATTTGAGAAAAGCTGAAAGAACCTTTAGATTCCAGAATAATGGAAAATCAATTTTCAAACCAGATAAATATTATTTTATTTATTCCTAAAAACATCATACACGTCTTTTAGACTTATTATTTTGATCTTCCCTCCCAAATCCTTCCTGCTGTCTCTGTGCTTCCTGGATACCATCACGTAGGTAAGCAGCTCTACCTCTGCTATGTCTCTCTGCCACACCCCGCAGCCTTGCAGGCAGTAACAATGGACTGAAACCATGAGCCACAAGAAACCTTTCCTTTAAGTTGTGTCAGGTATTGCGTCTCAACGAGAAAAGTGACTTACCATACATACTAAATTTATTTACCTGAAAGTTGTTTTGATGCCAAATATTACCAAAAATAATCACTAGCTTCTACAACCAAACTACATAGATATTTTAATAGAACAACTCAGACTATACAAAATCTTCAACAAAAAATCTTGACACCATCATCCTCTAAATATCACTCAAATGTTTATATGATTTCAATAAACTTCTGTAGGATTGCAACAAATATTAACAAAATTTTGAAAGTTTTGGTATTATATCATAAAAATTATTTCCAAAAATCAAGATAGCTATTAGACTATACAAAGTAATAACCAAAAAAATCTTTATGCCATCATCCTGTAAATATCACTCAAATATTTTATATGATTTTCAGAAACTTTTGTAGGATTGTAACAAATATTAATAAAATTTTTAAAGAGTTTTGGCATAATATCACGAAAATTATTTCCAAAACTCAAGGCTGGTTTTTGCAAGTATGTAAAAAATCTCTGGTGCATCCAAGTACAAATAGTTGAACTCTAGCTAAACTAGTTGTGTTACAGTTAAGTTCAGTTTGCTTGAGTATTTTCCTTATTCTTGATTATTAGAACTGACACATAAATATACACAGCCACCCAGCCCTCCACTTATTTATTTGTTGCCAAGTATGTGTGATAAATGCTCTTTGTTTGACCATGGTCGAATGAGGCTATTCTCTCATATTGTGATTACAAATTGCTTTCCCAAGTACACAAGACTAGGCCTCCAGGTTCACTGTTAAATGGAACGAGTGAGAAAAGGAAGCTTTCTTTGCACATTTAATAAGAAAAGATTCTATTTTGAGAATTAAATGTATGGCTGTTTCTCAACATTCTATTAATCATTTTGGTACAGTTTTAAGAAACTCTGACAAACCAGGATGACCTCTCAGAGGGAGTCCACTTAGTGGTTTATATTGTAATTCAACACTGTTACATCATCCAGTATGAAACAGGATTCAGAGTTTCCAAATGTCCACTAAGAAGAATTAGTCAGTGATTCTTATAATAACTGAAAAGCCGTATGACCAAATACTTAACACCAAACACTAGCTACCACATATTGAGTTATTTTTATGCATGTGAAATGCAGAGTACTATTTTATAGACACTGTCTCAATCTTTACAACCAATACATAAAACTGGCTATTATGGCTGTTGTTTGCACAACAACAAATTGTTGGGAAATCACAATTAAAAAGAGGCTGATTTACTCAACCGAATTAGTGAAGTGACAGAGCCAAGATCATAACCTAGACAGACCTGATTTCAGAACTGCTGTTTTCACCTGTGCCTTGTCCTGTCCCACTGACACACATCCATGGTGAGCTCAGGTATGTCAGATATGGTCTCTACTCTCAAGCAACACATAACCTAGGAAGAGAGACAGCACGCTTATTCAATATAATATAATTCAAGATCAAACAGTATAGTAATACTGAGATAAACTCAGTTCAAGTTACAAGGCAGTTCAGATAAAAAGTGTCTTCTTTCTCTGAGACAATTTGGGAGAGCCAGGCCAAAGACAGTAAAGGAGCATAATTTATAATTTTGGCATGTCATTGTATTTACCAGGAATGAGTCATAACATTTAATGTCTAGTATCTTCTTTGGTGTTTAGGGCAGTCATACAGCTCCACATTGCATAAGATAAATTCAGCCAGTGACATTCAATGCAGAGTCCCTGAATGATGTTTTGTTTCCCCCACTTTTCTTTTTCATGTCTACTTTGAAGAAAATTCTTATTGAAGTTTAGAGTGTATAGGAATATTTTGCTAATTTGTCAGTCCAAAGACAAAAATATTCATCTAATTCATACAAATGGGTCTGACAGCCTAGATGACTAGATGCAGAAATTCTTTTAAGGAAGGAATTCTCAAAAGAGCCTCAATTATTTTGTCCTCTGGGCACAGTCCATGTGGTACTTCTTGCCAGATTCTGAGCAGAAGGCACCTTCTCTTATGACCTTCTCTTTCCTTCAGTTCTGCCTCCCTCACTCTTTCCTCCATTCTTTCTATAATCAGTTGCTCACTATTATCATACTCCACACATTGCATTGAAAAGCATAACACTCTTTGCACTTGATGAAATTTCCAAATGGCTGAACTGCACAATTGAAGAAGCCAGACAGACGGGGGTACCTGCCTCAGCTCAGCTACTTACTGTGGGTTGAATATAATTTATCCCACCAAAACTCTTGTTGAGACTCAGTCCCTTGGGGAAAAAAAAGATGGTCTTGAGAGGCAGTGGGATCTTTAAGAGGTTTTGTGGAGTCTGGCTTTTTGACAAAAGCTTTATAAACCCAGCATTCTGAAAAACTAAGTGATGAGAATCACAAGTTTAATCCCAGTTTGAACCACACAGAGACTTATGAGACTTGTCCCAAAAAATAAATATGGCTGGAGGGTAACTCAGTGGGAAGACTGTTGGTTTAATCCCCCAATATAAAAAAAGAAAGAAAAAAAAAAAAACAGGCATTGTGGTTCACAGGGGTATCGTCCTTATGAGAAATTATCTCTATCATACAAGAATAAGATCACAAAGGACTGGGTCAGAATCTACCATAAGAGCAGATTTTTAAAAAGCAGGAAACCCCACTGATTGATTTTTGTATGCACCCACTTCCCTTTTAGTTCTCCATCATTGTGATGTCATCAGAGCACCCTCAACAGCCCATGCTGTTTGACTTTCCTGTCACTGTGTATTAATAGAACTATTTTATCCAGTATCCAGTATCAGAAACTCTGTTACAGTAACACAAAACAGACAGACAAACACTAGTTACCTCAATACAGCAAATCATATATCTGTGCCTAAATTTCTTTTCTACAAATCTGAATATGGAAAGACCTGCCACATCTAATTTTTTATGTGCTACCAGAAAGAAACAGTATAAGGTCTGCAATACAGTGAACATTGTGAATATGTTGAAGTTATTATATTCAGGATTTTAGTAATGAGTGAATCCGTCTGTCCTGAGTGTAGAAAAAAAGTACAGCTTATTAGCTTCTCCCCAAAAAATAGGAACCAAATCACTGGTAAAGTTAATCCTCAGGGAAGGACTATCATCTCCTCCCTCGGAGCAAAGAGAATATTCCACTATCAGCTCATGCATGGCCGCCTACAACAGACAAATGAATGGGGCTGAACATACAGTGACGCTTCTCAAATGTGTCTTTTGGCAGATCTTACAGACTTTTTTCTTTTTTATATCTTCTAAACTCTCTTCAGGTTTTTGAGGTGGAAAGGAAAGGGAGGGGAGAAAAGGGAAAGACAAGGCCTGCAATGGCAAAGCAAAACAAGACTGAAGAGCAAACGGGATACGAGACAGATTAACCTGGGCAACTAGATGTGTATTTGTAGAGAACCACATTACAACCTCATTTATCTTGGTAACCCAAAAGAATGTCTGGAATGATAATGAATTTAGGGACTCAAAAATAGCTATCTATGTTCTAAGTGTTTCCCACATGCTTCATTCTCATAATGTTGCATCAGGGGAGGTATTATCTACTACATTTTATTGATAAGAAAAAATGAAGCCAAGATATTATTTACTAAATCTTACAAAAGTTCACAAACAAATCTGATGCCTAGGCTTTGGGTCTCACTGCATCTATTGTTAATTTCCTTCTCCCAACGTTTGGTAGATGAATTAAAAACAATTCTGGACACATTTTTATTTCAGTTCCATGATCCAGTATTATAACTCTGCACAAGGACCTTTCTTCAAGTCACTTTGCTATCTCTCCCTTTAAGAGTTCAAGGCCAAAATACACACCAGATGTTATTTTAAGTGCATGTCTGGAGATAAACTGATCATTTTTAGAACCCTGAAAACCACAAGTTTCAGATTCTGTATCATTACATAAGGGGAAAGGGCGGTATATTCCTTCAAACTGCTAAAGTATCTGCAAAAGGTAGTCCAAATTTTCTGAGTTTTATGCAAAACACTAACTTGCATAAGGTTAAAATCTTCCAGAGAGATAATTCAGTAATTGATTTAAATGTAGTACATTCCAATGCAGAAAGTAGAGCTAGAATTGTTTTTTTCTGGGCTAAATGTGTCACTCTGTCCAACTTTCAACTGCCCTCTGCAGCCCCACTCAATGCTGGTTTTGCAGTCTCTCCCCCTTTCACGCACACTTAGTACTTGTCATTCTAATGACTAAGCACATTGCAGTTGACCTGTCTGTTAAGTTTGCAAACCAGTCCTGATTGGGTTTTGCCTTGAACCCTGGAGTGCAAACAAAAAAGTTATTTATGCCCACAACTTTTTACAAGTGCATCACTACTCTCTATTTTTATCCCTCTGTTGTGTCTCTTTTGGAGGAAAAAACGGGAGGAGGACAAGAAATAGTAGCTTTTCCATCACCATCACACATGCCTCACTAAACAATCAAAGAAACATTTATAGAGAAAATGTTTTCATTTCCCCTACTGTTCCGATGTTTGTGTTTTCTATTTTAATTTCTCTGGAGTGAAAATAGAATTCCTTCCCCCTTCCCAAAGCAGTCTGCAGCACTTTGGGCTCCGAAGTTGCGGGGAGAGGGATGCCCTAGGCAGGGCCGCAGAGCTGAGGCTGCACGTGAGTCTCCCAGACTCCTGCGCCACTTCTCCCGCCCGGGTGCCACCAGCGTGGCGCAGCGGCCCAGGCAGCGGAGCGTCTTCCTGGGAGGCGCAGCCGGTGCATCAACCTCAGCCCTCGCCGCATCCACCTCGTCATCCGCCTGTACCTCCATCCTGCTTCCCGGACGGAAATCAAACACCACCCCTGGTACTGCAGCCCTTCTTCGCCGCATCGCTCGGCCCCAACGCTGCTCTGATGACGAAGCCGCTCCCTACACGCGAGCTCACGACCCGTCTCCACCTCCTGCAGCCTAGACACCACCCCAGGGTGCTGGGATCCCCGGGGCGGGATGCTGGGGACACGCGCTCAGGGACGCGCCCGGGTGGCCCCGCGTGGCCGAGGGGGGAGGACAGCAGAGCGCGGGCAGGGGCCGAGGGCGCCCTGACCCCGCAGGCCCAGCGCCCCGACGTGCGCCCGGCCGGCCTGCGGGGCTCTCCGCCGTCCGGGGTGGGGTTTTGCTCGTGCCTGGCTCCCCGGCTGGCGGACCGCGTCGGCGCGTCTGTCACCGCTGGCCAGTATCCGTCCGCCGCGGGCGGCCCGGGCGCTGGCTGGCCCTGCACGCCGCCGCCCGCGCCTCCGCGTCCTCCCCCTGCCGCCGGCGCGCAGACTTTACCTGTGAGAGGCGCGCGGTGGGCGCCGCAGCTCCCCGTCCCCGCCGGCGACAGCCGGACCGCCTCGCCGCCAGCGGGTGAATGGAATTATTTATTTATTTATGGCCCCTGACGTGTCCTCGTCGGTCGCGGCCAGAGAAGGCGGGGGAGGCGGCGGGGAGGGGCGGCCCGAGCCGTTGAGGGCGCACAGGCGCGCGCCCGGCGGGCTGCGGGGCGGGGAGGCGGGAGCCGGGGAAGCGGGCCGCGGCCGGCGGCGGCGCGGCGGGGACTGAGCATGCTCCGCGGCGCTTTCCCGCGGCTCGGGCGCCCCGCTCCGCTGCGGATGTTAGTTTTGACCTAGAGGGATCTGCTGTTCCAGAGCAGTCCTGACGGGCTCCTCGCGAGGTACTTTGTCGCCCAGCCTAGGAAGCAGGTGTGGAAACTGTTTAGATACCCGCGGGGAGTTGTGCAACCTGTGGAAGCGAGGAGAGGACAGGAGCCTGGCAGAACGCAGAAACTAGATCCTCTCCTGGAGCTCCCAGGGAAGGCTGAGCTGTTTGTTGTTTGCAGTTAGGGACTTTTTAGGGGTGTAGGTGGAGGGTGGAGGGAAGGCAGTGCTGGTGATTAGTAGCACCATCCAAATACCTCCGAGGAAAGATAAAATTTACCCCATAAAAGAGGTGTTGAAGAATCAAAGATACTGACGGAGTTGCGGAGGGAAGGTTATTCATAAATAATGCATTTCAATTTTAACTTGCCAAATCTTTGAATTCTTCAAAACAGAAAATAGTTATTTGACAGTAAATAATTCTTCTTTTATTGGTTAAAATATGCTTTTTTAGGAAGTTGGAATAGGAAGGACTGGAAAGGGTACTGTAGGCACTTCCAGAGACTAGGTTTTTTTTTCTTTATTTTTTTTCTTCTTTGACATTTTATTCAAATTTACTTTTTAAGTCTTTATACATGCATATATTGTATACAAATATATATTGATGCTACTCATTCCATTACCACTTCCTCTCTTATTTCCTTCTTTCTGTCTAGTACAATTAGATCTCTTTTAATAGCATTAAATTGAAATGATACTTCAGAGAAAAAGACACTGTCCAGAATAATAAATGTAGGCTTTGACTTGAGAACTTGTATCAGACTTTTCAGCCAATCTATCTTTTTTCTCCCTGACTTCACAATAATTGTATTTGATATTTTGTGTAATTATTCATATGGTATAGATTTGGAGATGGACATAGAAAGGTGAAGTTACTTGAATAAATTCAACATTCTTACTTTGCTACAGCTAGTCTGTTGGACATGAACAAAATTTCAATTTCTATAACTACAAAGTAGAAATAATACCAACTTTTATTTTCCTAAGATTTAAGTATAATATTTAAAGTTGAGATGATATATGAAACAGGAGACTGAGTCAGGGCAAGGTGTTTGGACAAGTGGGCATGACTTGCCAACCATAGAGAACCAGACCCTATGCACAGAAAACAATTTCCAAGCCTTGTGTCTGGGCCAATCAGAAAAAACTATCTTCAACTCTTCTGGTGTGAAATCAAGCAAGTTTTTTATAGGGTGGCATAGACTTGACAGTAAATTGAAGAGAGATACAAGTGAACCCTGCCACCATGCTTCTCTCAGTGTATGTCTTTTCTGACCTTTAATAAATGTAAATCCTCGCTACATTTTTTTTGTGTGTTGTCCAATTTGTTCAGGACACCAAGAACTTGAATCTCTGCAAGCCCCCCAAATCTAGTAACAGCTGGCGAATAATACAATCATTAATAACTTCAAAAGGTTTGACAGTTGACTTGAAAACTAGAACACTAAGGCAAAAAATTCTAGAACTTTAGACTTTTAGACTAAAAATATGTAAATACATACTTGCATAGGAAATAGCATTATAACAACAACAAAATGTGTAGCATTGACTATAAACTATTTCAATTACAAAAAAGAATGATAAACTTGGAAACGATGTAATGTAAACATTCATTTCAAGGTCATGTTCATAGGTGTTTGCTATTGACATTTTTCCTGCTCATTGATCCCTTTCATTCCCTTTCAAAGAAGAACAAATGTATTTCCTGAATTTTTACTCAGTTCCCATTTCCTTCCCTGACCTTTCTTTTTGGTCGATTTTAGAATCCCTTGTACTTAGCCTATTTAACCTATTACCAATCTCTCAAATATCACTACTCATAGCAGCATATCATACTCTCAGCAACTTTTCAGTTTTTTTCAACAGTTTACCAGTTTTGTTGCACCAGTTTTGCTTTTTCCAATTTACCTACTTTTCTAGGCTTAGTATTTGGGGGTTCAGTCCTCAATTGCCCTGTTGCTATAGCTAGGCATACTGTGTAAACATTTGATTGAATTAGAAAGAAATCTGACAGGGGGATAAATCTAATCAGTTAATCCTATGAGTTATAGTTTAATATTGTTAGGAAATTGAGGGGAAATACAGCTTAATGAAAATGTAAACCATATGATCAGAATTTAGAATGTGCTGGCAAGATTTTCCCATTGATTCCTGTTTATAAGGTAACAAGGGGTGAAACAGTGAATAACATTATATATCTAATATTCTAGCAACTCATTCCACAATTAAGCAAACTAGTGCATATATACGTAGCATATAAGCTAGTAGTACAGCCCTTAATGTTAGTATACCGATACCCTCATATTCTGGATACTCTATTCCTCGTGTTCTCTTTCTTATTCCTCGTTCATGTGGTATCTTCTCACATTTTTCTCTCTTTTTTCATTTCCTACCCCTTTTTCATTATCAAAATTGTCTAGGCCATTTTTTCCCTTTCAGACCCAACAAATAAGCCAACAAGTTAGTGTCTTCAAGGATTTCTTATTAATACATAATTAATATATAACTTCTTTGTGCCATTCCCACAGAACATGACTTATTCTTTAATTTAGAGAAATTTCTGCTACATTTGCCTATTTTAAAAAAAATCTGTCTCCACATTCAATTAGACTATTTGAAACTAAAGATGACATTTTATTCATCTCTGGAATCTTCTAGCAACCAGATAAATCCTAGCAGATATAAAGGTAATTTGTAATCTTTGCCAAACAGAGAAAACATAATATGATTTTCACAAACAGAAAGTGCTCATATCCATGATCCAGAGAACTATACATTTCCGGTACAGTAGTATCAGAGTCTGCAACTAATTCTAACTGTATGAGCAGAAGTGTCCAATAAAACCTGAGTAACAGGAGTTAAGGTCCAGAGTGCCTCAGTCCCTTTTCTCTCCCTGCCACAGTGGCATGTTTCCCATGTTTCACCACGAGCTAAAGGCTACTTACCTTGTACTCATCTTCATGTCACCATGTATGCCTCTGAGATTTTAGACTTTCTTTGTGGTGAGGATATAAATTATATTGTTCTGATCGATATGTGATATTATTTAATAAGATTTCAAATGATAGTGGGTGTAAACACCCAATGAGACAAACTTAGACAGTGCTTTCGTTTGTTTGCAAGTCAAAGCTAAAAATATATTCTCATGATTCCTAAATTTATGTAACAGCCTTTTCACAACACTCTTTTGTAAAACCAATATGAGTTTGTGTGTGCATAAACCACACACAATAGTCTAAGGATGAAGGACCACGTGCCCTAATATTACCCTCAACTGGAGTGAAAATAAATCTGCACCTGCCGTCCAGAGGCAGCACACTGTGACTGAGATTGCAGCTGACTAGCAGCTGTGAGCATGATTGCTATGACCTGGTTTCAAGAATCTGCAAAGTATGAAAGACATCTCTCCTCTGCTTCTAGGGTTGTATTCTGAGTACATGTATAATAGGTTACTTTGAAAAAGTTCTGTGAAATCCTTCTATAGAATTCTGGGGAATGTGTGTCTAGCTCAATTTTATGAAGTATGAAAAAGGGAAATCAATTATACTGGACATTGCTCTATGGTATGCCATTCAATATTCATAAAAAACACAAAGGAATCTTTTGTCTAAACAAATGATTTGGGATGCACCAAAAGTCCCCCTGTGCACTATGCATTAAAATTTCTCTATTGAATTTTTGTAATTGTATACTTTATTTATTTTTAAGAAAACAATTTATTGGGTCAGTGTTTGAAACAACCATAGTTAGAATTTTCATTAAATTTTATCCTTATTCATACATGTATGTAGTACATAATGATTATATTACTTGTAGGGGTTAGCACATGTACACAACACATCTCAATTACTTTATAACCCCTACCCTTTTGCCCCCCTCCCTCCACTTCTTGGTCCCTTGTTTTTTTCAAACTTGTGGCTTCTTTTGTATGAGAAGCATAAATGTGAATGTATTTTATTATTATTCACAAACTAAGCTTATAGAGGCTTTCATATCAATGTAATTATTTCAAAATCATGTAAAATTAGACACGGATTAAAAATTCTTATACTGTAAATGTTTCAGGGATTTTGTACACAAATGGTTTGTGATTACTTAGTAGTTCCTGAATAGTCCATGATGATCGAATTGAAACTTAAATTTTAGTGCTTTTTATGTACACATCTTCTCTATAGAAAACCCTTTAACTTCTCTGAGTCATACCTTAATAATTAGTTTCACTTTATAAAATTCTATGATACTTGCAAATATTTCAAGGGTCCAAAAGTGCACAGAACTTATACATATTCGCAGTAAATGAAAACTTTCTTTTCTATAGATGTACTTTGAAAAATATGACCAATAAATTTATTTATGAAGTAAGTTTATGTGACACTTAAATATAATTTTAAGTGTACCTGCTTAGCTCTTAATTCTTGTGCAAATTTCCATGTACCCAGAATGTCCTTGAAGAGTTAGTCATTGTTTGCATTAATTTAATATCTTGATCACAGAACAGTTTCATGAAAAATGCTTCAACTGCATGATTGATAGTAAACTAAATTTCATCTGTGATTGTTTTACTTCTTTGCATAAAGTTAAAAGCAATTGCTATTCTCTTTTCCACTCAGGAGCTATTTTCCAACTTTTCTTCTGCTAGAAACTTTTATGCTATTTTCTTACTTAATACAAATCAATTTCTAATGGTTACTTAATTTTTCAGAGTTTCTGATGATTATGATCTTAAGTTGCCACTTGTATTTTTCTAAAAAACAATCTGCAAGAGGG